GTCGGACAGGGCAAGATATGACAAAATAACAATATATAAATTATCAAGGGCTCATGAGGGAGGGGAAAAATGAGGACCTAATGCCTGGGGCTTAAGTGGAGAGGAAATGTTTTGAGAATGATGAGGGCAATGAATGTACAAATGCGCTTTAGACAATTGATGTATGTATGGATTGTGATAACAGTTGTATGAGCCCCTAATAAAATGATTTAAAAAAAAAGAAAGAAAATAATTTTATGCTGGGGTGGGGGGGATCATCACAACATGAGGAACTGTATTAAAGGGTCGCGGCATTAGGAAGGCTGAGAACCACTGGAGTAAATGCTATAATCTCTCAGCATAACAGATTTGAAATAATACAAAGCCTAAGTAAAAGAATCAATATTTGAATATGCAAAATTTAACAAATACCATTAAAAACTAATTTTAGTAAGAAATGTGTATGTACATGCAACACGTCACAAGATACACAGAAGTTTAGTGGAAAGGCCACATTCTAAAGAGGCGCTTGATATTGTAAAGGGAAGATTCTGTGCGCACTTCTCAACGGAAGCTGGATTGCACCTATAGCCACCTGTTTCAAAGCATCCAGCACCCTCCCTCTTAGGGACCCAAGGTACTGAAGAGTGTGGGCCGTAACATTTGAAGGGAGCTCAAAAACCTGAGAGATGGTCTGGGGAAAATGGCATGCATTTGACTCCTGGCAGGGTCAGAGAGAAGTCACCCAAAAACTGCAATTCTTCAAGTTCAAGGAAGAAAAAGGCGGATGGTTCTTTGATCATAATCTCAAGCAGTTAATCACTAACTACTGGAACAGGTTTCAGCCCTTTGAGCCTGGGACAACTTCACCTCAGTAAGCACACGTTTTTTGGGAGGCAGCAGCCTTGCTCCAGGGTAAATGCTCCCATAAGTAGAAGCCAAACAACCCCCCAAGACTCTCCTTTACAAAAGCCCAGTGATCTCTGAATCTCACATTTCTCAGCACTCTGCTTTGCACAGATAGACTGTATTTTGCAAACACAGCACCTCCTTGTTTCCAAACCCAGTGCTATTGAGTCGATTCCATCTCCGAGTGACCCTAAGGTACAGAGTGGACCGGGTTCCCGAGTCTGTACATCTTTACAGAAGCAGCCTGCCACAACTTCCTCCCAGGGAATGGCTGGTGGGTTTGAACCGCTCATCTTCAGGCTAACTGCCAAGCACTTAACCACTGTGCCACTAGGCCTCCTTTCCTAGCAAGTGTTACATTCAGAGCTGGAACCTGCTACCTTTAATAGCGGGAACTGACCCAAAATGTGAGCGCATCATGCACTGAAGGTTCACACTCCGTGGGGAAGGTAAACAAAAACAGCTTCACAAAAAAGGGAAGTGATGCCCAACTTTTGTCCTCAGTTCAGGAAGGCAAAGAGGCCACACCAAAACTGCCAAGTGAAAAGAAACATTAAGAGGAACAAGTTATATTTGTACCCGGCTTAAACTCTCTCCCCACAGCGACCGCTGGAGCACTACGGGGAAAGAAGGGTACTTGTAAACAGTGGGGAAATGTGGCAGGAGTCCTCTCCACCTAATGATCAAGGTCACCTCCACATGCCTTGCAGTGTGAGGCAGGCATAAAGCCCAACACTGTCTATGTTGTACGCTGGCCTGAAATATATAACCCACATCTGATTTTAAGGAACACCTCACAAACTCCAGGGGAGCAACAGTCTACAAAACTAGCTCGTAGTCTTCAGAACATTCAGTGTTCTCCAAGACAGACAGAGGCCCCTTTCTAGAGATAGGAAGGTGGGATGACAAGTAAATGCAGTGTGTGATCTGGGATCAGAAGAAAATGGCTAGACAGGGCACAATGGGGACATTTGGTGAAATTTGACTGTGGATAGACTTTTAAATTTTTTTGCAAGCCCCCACCCCCGCCAGGTCCCTTGGACAGACTTTTAGATAACATCTTTTATCTGTGTTAATCCTGGGTATGATCACGGGGCGGTGGCAATGGAACAGAGGCAATGTAACAGAACGTCCTTGTTTGGGGCAGCTTGTCATCAAGCTAAACTCTCAATGCGAGGGGGCTTCAAAAAGTTTGTGGGAAAATCCCATTCTTTTCAATCACATGTTCCCACAAACATTTTACCGCTGGGTGAAAAAAAAGAGCCATAGTCCCATGGAGGAAGGCTGAATGATAAAGCAAATGTGTCCAAATACTAATAATTGATAGCTATGCTCTGAAGGGCACAGAAGAATTCTCTGTAGTAGTTTCACCACTAGCTAGTTCGCTGTAGCTTTTAAAGGGCCTGTGCATTAATTTCACCCCTCGTTTCTGGGTATCTTTAGTGGGGAGTGGAGCGGGAGAAACCTGGTCTGAATTACTTCATCAACAGCTAAATGGAGGTTTGCAATACACATAGTATAGCCTTCTTACTCAACAATGCTGGAATACCACCCACAGCTTCACATCGTGTTTTTTCCATCTATCACTCTATCTTGGAACGCTCTGTACATCACAGCTTTATGGGCTTTCTCATTCCTTGAGCGGCTAGAAGCACTTCATCATATAGGTAGAATGCACAGGCAATGAGCACTTAGGTTGTTCTACTAGAAATAATGCTGTTGTAATTAACCATGTATAGGGGGTCATTCATGCATCTGTGAATTCATATTGTAGCTTGTGCTTCTAGAAATAGAATTAGGCAACCAGAGGGAAAGTTCATTTGTAAATGTGAAATGATACTGAGGCTGTAACTTAGGTAAAACGACATGCAAACTACAAGAGAAAAACAAACAGGTCTATCTAGATAAGATAGGTGGGATAAACAATCTGGAGGAGAAAACAACGGGACAGACGGTTCCGGGGGGACATGGGAGAGGGGGCCGCGGGGTAAAGGAAGTGGGTGCTAACAAACCCAGGGACAAGGGAACAAGTGATCCAAAAATCAATGGCGAGGAGGGTGCAGGAGGCTTGGTAGGGCTTGATCAAGGGCAATATAACCAGAGGAATTACTGAAACCCAAATGAAGGCTGAGCATGATAGTGGGACAAGAGGAAAGTAAAAGGAAATAGAGGAAAGAACTAGGCGGCAAAAGGCATTCATAGTGGTCTAAATGCAGGTATGTACAAATGTAAATATATTTACATAAGATGATGGGGAAATAGACCTATGTGTATATATTTATAGGTCTAGTATTAAGGTAGCAGATCGACATTGGGCCTCTATTCAAGTACTCCCTCAATGCAAGAACATTTTGTTCTATTAAATTGGCATTTCATGATGCTCACCTTCCTGACATAATCGCTGAAGACTAAGCGGGTGCATAAGCAAATGTGGTGAAGAAAGCTGATGGTGCCCAGTTATCAAAAAATACAGTGTCTGGGGTCTTAAAGGCTTGAAGATAAAGGCCACATTCTAAAGAGGGCACTTGATATTTTAAAGGGAAGAGTCTGTAAACACTTCTCCCAGAATCTGAGAAGCGACCATCTAGCTGAGAAGCAAAGAAGCCCACATTGAAGAAGCACACCAGCCTGTGTGATTATGAGGCGTTGATGGGATCAGGTATCAAAGAACAAAAAATCATATCATTGTGAATGAGGAGGAGTGCGGGATGGAGACCCAAAGCCCATCTGTAGGCAACTGGACATCCCCTTACAGAAGGGTTGCGGGGAGGAGACGAGCCAGTCAGTGAGGTGCAGTGTAGCAGTGATGAAACATACAACTTTCCTCTAGTTCTTTAATGTTTACCCCCCTCCAACTATCATGATCCCAATCCTACCTTATAAATCCCGCTAGTCCACAGGATGTACATAGGTACAGATAAGAACTGGAAATACAGGGATCCAGGACAGATAAACCTCTCAGGACCAATATTGAGAGTAGAGATGCCAGGAGGGTAAAGGGAAGGTGGGGTAGAAAGGGGGAATGCTCACAAGGATCTACATATAACCTCCTCCCTGGGGGATGGACAACAGAACAGTGGGTGAAAGGAGACATCAGACAGTGTAAGACATGACAAAATAATAATTTATAAATTATGAGCGAGGGAAGGCGGGGAGGGAGGGGAAAAAATGAGGAGCTGATGTCAAGGGCTCAAGTAGAAAGCAAATGTTTTGAGAACGATGGTGGCAAGAAATGTACACGTGTGCTTGATATAATGGATGGATGGATAGTGATAAGAGTTGTAAGAGCCCCCAATAAAATGGTTTAAACAAACAAACAATAAAAAAGTATGGTGTTGGGGGTACAGATTAGTAATTTACACTGATGAATGCAAAGCTGGTGATCCAAAATGGAATCCCACTCCTGATTTACAGGTGTGGTGTGGGAAGTGGGTGGATGTGGAGCTGAAGTAAGGATGGCCGAATATGACAGCTGCTGCAGTGGGTGAAGGTTATGTGGGAGTTCAATACCTTAACATAAGCCTATAAATGTCCTAGAAAAAGCTGAGATAAAGCAGGACTTAGAAGTAAGCATGTGGTGGAAAATTAAAAATGAACTTAGCACCTGTCTCAGGAAGTTGAAAAGCAACAGCAAAATAAACTCAAGAAAAGATATAACGAGATGACATTAACAAAATGGAAACTAAACCATACAACAGGGCCAATTCCATCAGAAGCTGGTTCTTTTCAAGGTAAATAACTTAAGATGAACGAAAGTTGTGACATCATTTGGATCCTGCAGAAAATGTATGGTTTCTTGTGAAGGTGGGGCTTGAATAACTGGTGGTAACGGGGATACGTTTCAAGTTTCTTTAACCTTGGACTAATATTTGAGTTTAAAAAAATCATAAAATCAAATTTGGTAAAACGCAAGGTCTTCCCCAATTATGGTTGGATATATGATATTCAATTCCATCTTGTACATAAAGTGAACAACTTTCAGCAGGAAGCCACCAAGTTGGTGTACTAGAGTGAGGAGCAGGCATCCAGGGCAGGGCAGCACCAGAATCACCACCCAAACGAGCTCACCACCACGGTATCCAGGGCTCCTCCCCAGACCAAATGGCGTGGGGATCCCTGGGCATTGCATCAGGACACTGGTGGGTTTGAAAACCTCTGAGATGATCTCAGTGCATATGCTGGGTTGAGAGTCATTGACTTAGAGCATCACTCTAGTTAACAGAGCTCCAAACTGGGTACACAGAAGTAATTGGCCACCGAGACAGAAACATGGACAACGGACGCTCTCTGGGTTATTTGGAGTTGATCTCTGGCACTGGAACAAGCAAGCATGGAGAGTGGGATTATTGCCACCGTGCGGCATCACAAGTCCCTTACCCATCACCTCAGCCCAACATGGGACACCTGTTCGCTCTGCAGGAGAGGAGCGAGAGGAAGGCCTAAGAGCCCAGAATTGGCGCGTCTTCAGTAGCCCTTTCAAAGCAGGGACACAGGCCCCTGCCCTGGGAAATGGAGGCTGGGGAGTCCTGCCAGTGGCCAACCCTATTTAGACCTGCATCACTTTTTTTGTTTGGTATGTGATCAAATGTAAAATAAATAAATGTAAAAAAGAAAAAAGAAGTAATTGGAACTCACGCAATGTGGGGCGCTATTGTCAATATACCACCTGGACTACCCGAGATGCGTGGTAGCCTTAAACTTGTTGTCTGACACTGTACTGGTTTTCTAGTGAGATGAATTTCAGCCACCAGAGATGGAAAACTCTACATGCAGTAAGAATTCCGGCCTCTCTCTTCTAAAGCTGACAGGCAGTCATTTCTTTCTTTCTTAAAAAAATACTTGCATTTACTTGGTTGTTGGATTAAGTCATCCCTGACACTGACCTTAATATTAAACAAATGGTCTTACCCTATGGCACTGGCAAGGTCTTCCCAATCAATGTCATTAGACTCTTCCACATTTATGTCATACAACCTAGGAGAAAGAGTGAAAACACCAACGTGATGGGTACTGTCACAGAGTCCCAAGAAGAAAACCAAGAGCTGGAAAGGACCAGCATGTCCAGCCCCTATTCCTTCATTCCCCCGGCCCGAAGAGGGCAGAACCCCAGCCCAATCTCCAAAAGGTCACTGCCACCCACTCCATTCTGACTCAGAGTGACCCTGTAGGACACGGGAGACCTGCCCCTGGGGGTTGCTAAGGCTGCAAATCTTTGCAGCGGCAGAAAGCCTACTCTTTTTCCTACAGCCGTGGTTCTCAACCTGTGGGCTGCGACCCTTATGGGGTCAAATGACCCTTTCACAGGGGTTGCCTAAGACCATCAGAAAACACGTAAATATTTCACAATATAGAATTACATATTATTTTGTGAATAATCACTATGCTTTAATTTATGTTTAATGATGTTCAATTTGTAACCATGAAAATACATCCTGCATCTCAGATATTTACATTATGATTCATAACAGTAACAAAATGACAGTTATGAAGTAGTAAAGAAAATAATTTCATGGTTGGGGGTCAGCACAACACAAGGAACTGAATCAAAGGGTTGCGGCATGAGGAAGGTTGAGAACCACTGTCCTATAGAGATGTGAGGTTGCCGCAAGACCAGTGGGGTTTCCTTCTGTTGAACATATTTTTGCTATGAGTCGGACCCGATTCGGCAGCACCAAGCACAAGAAGACACTGTACCTTTCAATAAGGTGGATCTTGGCCTGCAGGGCATTGACCCCTCGGTAGACATCCTGGCCCTGAGTCATCCTTTTGGTTAAAACATCTGTCCTACAGTAGATGAGAGAAGAAGATAATTTACTCTCAGGGGTAAAGTTTTAATGAAAATCTCTCCTTTTCTCCTCTGGATCGCCCTCACTCAGCTTCTCCCTTTCGCAAGTCATCCCTACTAACTGGCATGTGCCATTATAGAGGACACACCTACGGAAACCCAAACAAAAAAGCAAGAAAATGATAAATTATAACGACAGAGAATGATGGCTATTGAAGCTGAATGAAAACCTGAGAGGGACAATACAACTATAAAACCTTTTAACAATGCAAAGTTAAGGGGAAAGCACCGTCAGTAGGTACTTAGACACTTTGTAAGCCCACCTTATTTGTGACTGTTTTGGAAACAGATGGTCATTGCTCTTCTTACCGTTGCCAGCTGTTAGGATACTATATTAAACAGAGAAATTTAGTGACGTGATAAATGATTCGATAAGCCCTCTACTGCCCCAAACCAGCCCCAACGCTCTGGTGGGCTGCACATGCTGGGCTGCTCACCACAAGGTCAGCAGTTTGAACCACCAGCTGCTCCTTGGGAGAAAGTCAAGGCTGTCTGCTCCTGTAAAGATGTACAGCCTCGATGGCAGTGGGTTTATGTGGAACACAACTGCCCAAAACTGTCTGATTTGAGGCTTCACATTTCTTGTCACTGCCCTTTCAGCTGAAAAGCAAATCTTGCCTGGTACCTGAATTGTGCAAATTCTGAAGTAGTCATATCCTTAATCATCTCTCTTTTCCTAAAACATCTTTTTCTTCAAAGTACCTCTTTTATTCTTTTACTGTAGTGGAATATGTTAACGAAACACTTGCCACTTTGACCATTTTTACAGAAGGGTCGTGGGGGGGAGACGAGCCAGTCAGGGTGTGGTATAACACTGATGAAACATACAAGTTTACTCTAGTTCTTAAATTCCTCTGCCCCCCACTATCATGATCCCAATTCTACCTTACAAATCCAGCTAGACCAGAGGATGTGCACTGGTACAAATCAGAGCTGGAAACACAGGGAGTCCAGGACAGATAAACCCCTCAGGACCAATAATGAGAGTAGAGATACCAGGAGGGTAAGGAGAAGGTGGGTGAGAAAGGGGGAACCGATCACAATGATCTACATATAACCCCCTCCCTGGGGAACAGGCAACAGAAAAGTGGGTGAAGGGAGACATTGGACAGTGTAAGACATGGAAAAATAATAATAATTTATAAATTATCAAGAGTTTGTGAGGGAGAGAGGGTGAAGAAGGCAGAGGGAAAAAATGAGGAGCTGATACCAAGGGCTCAAGTAGAAAGAAAATGTTTTGAGAATGATGGTGGCAACAAATGTACAAAAGTGCTTGACACAATGGATGGATGGATGGATGGTGATGAGAGCTGTATGAGCCCCCAATAAAATGATATTTTAAAAGTTTACAATTCAGTGACATTAACTATGATCATCATTTGCACAACCATCACTATGACCAGTTTCTCCATTTGTTCATCTCCAACACCTTCATAACCCAATACATTCTGCTTGGAATGTTTTATCAGTGGCCTGTGTTTGCTATTAATGTGGGATATTTATGTCCCTCTGGACGCTGCATCACTTTCTGGATCATTTGATGGGCATATTAAATTTAGGGTGTCTACAAATGTGATATTCACATGGGCACAAAAGCATCATCACAAGGCAACTTCTTAATAATGCCGAGGAACCTGGAGACATATTCACAAGGCTTGGCCAAAGCAACACAAATCTGGCGAAACCTCTCCCTCAGGATGCATCATCCCACAATACCTGTAAAATCAGTTAATAGGCGGCTCACACCCATTTCCTTCGTTTCAAGCAGTGACACAGGCCTTCCTCCGGCATGTTTTATCAGTGGGAAAGCAGTTGCCCAGTAAACACCAGAAGAGGAAAATGCAGGTGGGGAATATATGTCCCTTGGGCTATGAAGGAGCTAACAGAAACTCAATATCCCTTATGCAATCTCTTTCCCTTTCCTCGTTCTCTAAACAAATAATTGACCCCGTCCCCCAAACAAAACCAAAAACAAACCCTTTGCCACTGAGGGTCAAACCCAGTGTGACAGGGTAGAACCGCACCATACGGGTTCTTGGGGGTGTAACCTCCGGTGCCATAATGCATAACAGTTTGGCTGCTAACTGCAAGGTCAGTAGTTTGAATCCACCAGCTGCTTCTCAGGAGAAAGATTAAGCTTTTGACTCCTATAAAGAGTTACAGTCTCAGACACCCCAGGGGCAGTTCTACCCTATCCTATAGTGTAGATATTGAGTCAGAATCCCCTCCCTGGCATGAGTTTGGTTTGCCAGTATCTCTATAGGAGGAGATTGCCAGGCTTTTCTTTGGCAGCGCCTCTAGGTGGGTTCAGATGGCCAACCTTTAGGTTAGTAGTTGAGCACTAACTATTTGCACCACACACAGGGACCTTCCAGCTGCCCCTTGTGTCATTAGTACACTCTGATCTCTAGATAATTCATGTGAGACCCTACAATGTATGTCTTTCTGTGGTGAATTTATTTCACTCAGCACGACATTTTCAAGGTTCACCCATACTGTAGCATGTGGCAGGCCTCCATTTTCCTTTATAAATCACAATCCATTGCTTAGACACACCCCATTTTGCTTCCCCATTGAACCCATGAACTCTCGGGTTGCCCCGTCTGGCTATCGTGAACAATGGTGTAAGGACCACCAGCATACATGTAACTGTTTCAATTGCTGCTTTCAAATCATTTGGGTATAGATAGGTGTGCAATTGCTGGGTCCTATGTTAAGCCTATGCTTTTATTTTTTGAGAAATGGCCAAGCCATTTTCTATAATAACGGCACCATTTTGGAATCCCACCTATAATGGATAAGGGTTCCAATTTCTCCACCTCCCTACCAACAACTTGCTACTCTCCATTTTCCTAATGATAGCCATCCCAGAGGGGTGATTCATGTCCTGTGGCCATGTTATCAGGAGAGGCCATCCCTGGAACAGGTCATACTTGGTAGAGAGGGCGATTGAAAGAGGAAGACCCTCAGCTGGACGGACTGCAACAACGGGCTCAGACAGAACAATGGTGAAGATGCGGCCGACCGGGCAGTGTTCCGCTCTCTTGTGCAGTGTCACTATGAGACACACCCACTTGAAGAAGGCACCTCCCATCCACAGTGGGGTGGAACCAGTGGATAGCAACTGGAAGTAGGGCCGAGTTGATAATTCACTGTGGCTTTGATGTGGAAGCCTCGGATGACCAAAGGCGCCCTGGTGGCGTAAGGGTTCTGCATGGGGCTGCTAATGGCAAGGTCCAGCAGTTTGAGACCACCAGCTGCTCTGTGAGAAGAAAGATGAGGTTCATGTCTATTCAAGCCCAGTTTTTGAAATAGTAAAAATGCTTACTCTTTACACCAAGTGTATATAGTTATGTGTAGTAAAACAGGAAAAAGTTGTGTCTATTCACACTGGGAGGCTGCATGGCCCAGTGGCCAATGCCTTAAGGAAGAGCACTGGACTAATTAGAGGGGTAGACTCAGGGCTGCTCCATTTTCGGAATGGGGTCATTGGCATTAAAAGACAGTTAATGGTGGGTTTTATTTTAAAAATATCTTCTTTCTTTCTTCAGACTTGAATTTTTTTTATGTACAAATAGTTGGCACTGTGTCTTCTGTTGAGTGGCTGTCTTGGATAGTCCATCCAAGATCACTTAGTCCAGCCTGATGAAGCCGATATCCTTCACATACCTACGGAAACACTGACGGCACACACTGAGGCCGTATTTCTGGTTTGAGCACAAGCGGTAAGAATGGGAACCCTGGCCGAATTTTCGCCGGTGGCTCCAGTAGAGCTGCTGGTGACCCATCTTGTTTCCAGGATCTCTTGAAGGCAAAATATCCTCTCTACCTACATCTCTTCTAGCTGTTTAATATACTCACTTGGCGGGGGTGGGGGTGGGTGCAGGGAACACCAGACAGTGCCCATGTGGGGCTGGCCAGCACCACAGGCCCTATTCCAACCTGCTCCTTGGCAGCCCCGACTCTCAGGGCCAAGTTGGATTATTGGCAGGGGCCTGGGTCAGATTCTGGGATCAGCTCAAGTCATACTAGGGACCCTTTAAAGGCCAAGGTCCTAAACCCAAGGTGTTACATTCTGCGGGCACCCTAGAGCACAGGCTGGAAAAGAAAGAGGGCCAGGATGCGGGTGGGCATCACTGCCCAGACCATTTTTGGATTAGGCTTCTGTTGACAGTTCTTCTCAGTTAGCACTGCCAACATGTCCATCCCAACTCTCAGTGACCCTACAAGACAGAGTAGAACTGCCCCTGCGGATTTCTAAGACTGTATGTCTTTAAGGGAGTAGAAAGCCTCACTGTTCTCCTATGAAGCAGCTGGTGGTTTCAAACTGCTCACCTTGGGATTAGCAGCCCAATGTGTAACTCACGATGCTACCAGGACATATATTTACATATTCTTAGTACTAAACCTTTATCAAATATAGGGATTCCAAATATTTTCTCCCATTCTGTAGGCTTTCTTTATTGATAAAGTCCTTTTATGACTACAAGCCCCAGATTTTTTTTTTTTTTAAACACTGATAGATCAGCCTCTAATTGAGGCCTATTATCCCTCATCCCTTCAGTGGGGGCACCCTATGCTTCCTTACTATCAGGGCAGAAAGGGCTTTAGAGTCTCTCCATAGAGTACTTAAAAAAAAAATTACCTCTTCTTTCTTGAGTAGTCTTCTATTACAATAAACAAATGCCCCAAGAAAAGAACTGTGCGTCCATAAGCAGTGCATTCCAAGGGTTTACTTGTACAAATAACCTATGCCTACTTTGAACCGCATTCATATTTGACCCCTAGGGATCACTGGGCTCCTTGAGAGCCTGAGGCATGGCCTGTGTGGGCAGAGCCACTGCTTCAGGGCCGCGTGGGGCAGTTGAACGGGCAGCTCACCATGCCCTGGGGCTGGGAAAAGCTACATCAGGCAAAGAACAGGCAGCACCTTTGACTGGAAACAGCTCCAGGTGACTGGCTTACCCAGAGGAGCTCTAACATGAAGCACATGATGGCCTCCCTCTAGCTCACTGGCTCTGCACCTTCCTAATGCCTGCACCTTTTATGGTTGGTGACCCCCTAACCATAAAATTATTTTCGTTGCTACTTCATCACTGTAATTTTGCTAGTTATGAGTCAGCTGACCCTTGTGAAAAGGTCGTTTGACACCCCCCCCCAAGGGGTCGCAACCCACAGGTTGAGAACCGGCTGCTCTAGCTAGATAACAGAGGAACTGTTTAATTACAAAACAAAGTAAGCAAGGCAGAGCTGTTACTAATTACCACGCTGGTGATTTCTCTTCTAAATGTTCAACCAAAGCAAACTCCTTGCCATGAGGTCCATTCTGACTTATAAGACAGGATAGACCTGCACCGTGGGCTACTGAGACTGTAACTCTTTTTTTTTTTAATGTACTGGAAAAATTTGTATTTAGCATTAGCCAGCTGGGCTCAGTTTAGATGATTCCAATTTTGTTGGCAACATCTAAAGCATCAGTCAGGAGCCAGTCGAACATATACCTTCTTCTCACCGTCAGGCCTGATCAAGGTGCTGACATTAAGGCTGCGACCTTAATGTCACAGAGCTGCTTCACAGCCTGATCTGGTGCTTGTTGGCCTTGACATCCACATGAACACTAGTGTGTAGTTATCGTCAATCTTCTTATGGTGGACTCGGTGATCGGGGGACTTGATATGGCTTCGTGGTCAAGCTTGTTTCTCCTGGGGACACTTCTGATGGCATATGGGCTGCCTTCTCAGCCTCAGGATCTTGGGCCGCCAGAAGGTGGGTGATGTGCTTTTTGTGGCTGCGGACATCTTTCAGCCTTCTTGGCCTTTAAAACCTTTGCTTTGGCTTCCATTTGGGAAGGGACAGGGGCCTTCAGTGCCTCTTCGTAAGAAAGACTGTAACTCTTTACAGGAGTCGAAAGCCTCAACTTTCTCCTGGTGGTTTCAAACTGCTGACCAGGCTCTCTTCCTGAACACGGAGTTTCATATATATATATATTTTTGTTTATGCGTGCTTGCTACAAACTGGTCACTACCTGGTCTCCCCTACAAAGTTTGAGAAAGAGACTGAGTCAAGATACCAGATGCCAGCATTCAATTTTAAGAGGTCATAGTTTTGTTTTGTTTTATAAGGATGAGACCCAATCTTCAAGGAACCACAAGCAACTGAAATAAGGAAACGGTGGGCTCCACGGCTACTTTTGGTATCTAAGGTTTTCCACAGAATAAACAGACATTCTCAGTCACCTCATCTCTCTACCCGCTCTGTAGAAATTAAGGGAGAATATCATCTGGTTGGAATTGATATGAAGAAAATCTTAAAACTTACCACTTACTTTTACACTGCATCCAATTTCTGGTTTCCACTTTAGCTTCTACTTCTACCCAAGAGATGCCCTTGTACAGTTTTTCCCGAACAATTGATAGACGGTCTTCAGGAATATCCCGGAGACTAGAATCCATGTCATTCAACTCCTGAAGGGACATCTTCTTTAGAATCACTTGTTCCACAGCCTTGATGAGTCTCTTGATTTCCGCCTTACTCCAGCTACCCCGGTTCACGGCTGCAAATGTAAAAGAACAGTGGCAGAGTGCCTCGTCTGTGTGCTGCCAAACAAAACCTCAAGAGCCAAATGGGACGTCTCAGACAACCAAAACGATCGGGGACAGTGACATGCAAATAGGAGCAACATTATTAAAGGGGTAGTGGGTTCTCCCTCCAACGTCTTCCTTGCCACCTTAGCAAAGTGACTTCCTCCATTCAGTTTCTCCTACTGACCAGCTTTCTGGGGTATGTCTCCACTGGGCAGTTCTGTGATGAAAGTTAATGAACTTCTAAGAAACCAAACACCACCAAACCCACTGCTGTCAAGTTGGCTCCGACTCAAGGCCAAGCCCACTGCCATAAAGCCGACTCCGACCCATGGCGAGCCTGTACCGGGTTTCCAAACTGCTTATCTTTATGAGGGGAGGAGGCCTCACCCTGCTCCGACAGAGCCGCTACTGGGTTTGAACTGCCTATACCTGTGATTAACAGCTTCATACCCAACTCAGTGCCACCAGGGCTCTTTAAAGCAACCCGATGAAAGCATGGTTAAGATCCATCTTGTGAATAAAGGGTGCAGGGCTTCACTGAATATCCAGAAACGAAGCGCATCCGTACAGAGAACGTTTTTAAGAATACTAACTCTGTTAGAAGCCAAGCCGGCACTGAATCAGCTTGTGGGCTGAACCAGCAGGGGTGGGGTGTATGTGTGTGATGGATTCCCCTAAGTGGGTGCTATCGACGGTCACTTACAACTGCCAATCTGAGAGTACTTCAGGGCAACAGAGAGGCTGCTCCGGGCCACCATCTCGCCAATCTTTTTCCAATCATTTCCATGGAGGGAATGGTACAGCATTAACTTTTCAGTATCGCCTTTACTGTACCTAAGAGAAAGGGAAAACATGGTACAGTTCTGAATTAACCACAAGATTAAACACCTTATCTTCATGGCAGTGCAGTGGTGCCAGCTGAATGGAGAGGGGCTGACAGGACCCCTGGTTGGCACCAGTCCTTCTGATGCCCCAAGCACCCTTCTCTCCATGTTCCCTTACTTCAACTGCGTTCATCCTCTAAGTTGATGATCACCATGTCCCAGCCCAGGGACCTGGCTCAGCTGCACAGCAGCTAGAGCAAACGAGCCCGATCACTTTGCTCCCCGATGGGAACTCCAAAGACTTCTACAGGTACAATAGAGCACACTTTTCCAAGTGCCTCTGCTTTGCACAGCTCAGCCCTACCCACCTTCTTTGAACTTGTTTGTATTCCTGAACCTTTGTGACCACTGAGGGAAGAAAGAGCTGGCTGTTCCTCCACCCAGCCTGGGCAACAGCTACAAACCCACAAAATCCCTCCTAGCTGACATTTCTTCAGAGAAACTTTCCTGACCACCCTCGTACAGGAAGGTCCCAGTCTTTATTACAGAACACATGCTTCTCTTTCACAGCACTGGAGACAAGTTACAGTTCGGTTTCCACGGGCTTCCTCTACCGCAGCTCTGTCCCACAGAGATAGGATGTGTGTCACAAATGCACACATTTTAATTTGCTAACCATTTAAAACAGTAAAGCCCAAACAGAAGGGGAAAAAAACATCAGGTACTATTAATTTCAACAATAAACTTTTACTTATATCAACACATAGTTGACATCATTTTTAACAGATAATTAATATAAAAAGTATTATTGAGATTTTTAAAATGCCTTTGCTTCAAGCCAAGCCTTCCAGGTCTAATAATGTATTCTACCCTCACAGTAATAATGTATTCTACCCTCACAGTAAT